ATGGGAAAGAGTCAGTAACTGAGGATGATGCTGATGCTGAAGACTTAGAAGTGTTTTATCCAACAAATTGGTGGCAAACAGTTCATCCAGGTAATACTGCTGGTTAATTATAATGTACCTGTGAAACCACATCTTGCCCCTCTGACAAAAATGTCATAGAAACTAAAAAATTCCATAAAATCCAACTTCATTTTTGGGTTTCAAAGAGGTCTCTTGTAGACAGCCCCAGTTAAGGTAAGAAGATCACTACAAAATCAGTTTTCAATGGGAACTGCTGCTGAAGCACTTCCTGTTCACTGAAACAAACTTAACAGACTGTCAGTTAAGTAGGTAGGTGGTGATGTGCCTCCATCACTCATTCAGGAGCCCTTTCTTTTTTGCGCACTTGTCAAGAGACAGATTTTATAACCTTCATTGGCACGCACTGTTCTGGTATGCTGTGTTCTTCTGTGGCTTGTTTAAATATTACTTGGTGGCAAACTTGTCGTTAAGAGTTGTAATGTAACCTTGCACAGTTTTTGAAGAGTTTCTAATCCTTTTGTAGTTGAAGTTCAGTTTGAGACTCTTAAATCTGAAACGTCTGTTCTAGGAAAAAAAAAGCATCTTGCTTAATTTTGGTATGAATCTGATCTTGAGTGAGCTTTTAAAAAAGTTTCTTCCTGAATTTTCCATAAAACTCATCTGAATCTTCCGGGATGCTGGAGTTGTCATATTATAAGAGTCTGAGTCATTTTACACATGCAGAAGTGATTTCACAGCTAGCAAATCTACAATAACAACCAGTGGATTTCCACAGAATAAAAAGAATTTTAAAAATATAAATTAGCCTATTTTTATGCTGGATGCCATTTGTGGCTGTGAGCTGGTGTGCACCTCCATCCCACTGCCATGCTGGAATTCCACTGACTTCCGTCTCATCCTCCCATTCATCTGCCATGCCTTGATGGTAAAATTATATTTGGGAGGATGGATGATTCTTTCAGTGAAGTTCAGTCTGACAGGGTCACTGGTCTTCTGTAGGGCTACACCTCCCCTACACCCTGCCCCTTTCCTCTTAGGTTGATGGTAGATACTCCCCGATGATCTGGAATGGGGGATGCCTAGTAAAGTCCCTTCTTAGGTTCTGCTGAGTTCTTTAACCCACAGCTCCTTGGCCTCCTCTTCCTCTGGCTGAATCTCTCCTTGGGTTGGATATCAGGTTATCCCTGTGGATGCCTTCACTCCTCTTTCATTCTCTCTGTCATTGTCTCTGTGCCTTCCTTCATGGGATTCAGTTTCTGTAATTATCCCTGGATCAACTTAACTCTTTCCTGTCTCTTCCCAGCCTTACTTCAGGCCTTACAGACTTAATTGCTTTGAAGACCCCAGGTGCAGGATATCAAGTCCTGCTTAACCATAAATCAAACCCTTGTGGAATCCTTCTGTCCAGTTGTCTTTGTTTACACAAGGAAAGTAAATCAAAGGGAAATTTCTTATTTCCAGCCTCCAGTTCTTCAAATTCCTTCACAAAAAAATGATCACTCTTGTTTCTTCCCAGTTCTGATGGCTTAGTTAGGCTGTCACCATCCAGTTCATACCCTGCTTTCTTTCTCCTTGGCATGCTGTGTAAATTCCTTCTTTGCCCTGGCCATCTCAATTTCCCTCTAAACCCCTGCTTCTCTTGGTGGGTTCATATTTTCCCTCTACCTGGTGGGTCTCTGCCCGCCATCTTACGGGGATATCTCCCACCTAGTTCTGTCTCTAGGGATTTGCTCACACTACCCCACCATCTGCTTTTACTTATCTTTCTGGGAAGGCATTGGTGATCCTTGCTTGTCGCTTGTCTGGGTCCTGACAACTCATGACGGTCCAGCTGGCTGGGATCTCCTCTTAAATCTTTACAGCTCCCAGTCTCACTGGTTGGTTCCTGCTCTGGGGGACACTGAACACCAAGCCTTTCTTTGGCATACTCTTTTCCGCTGCCCGGTTCTCTCTCCAGGGCAGTTGGTGCAGGCTCCCTGGGGTACATATTCTCATAACCTCAGGGCCTGCCTGTTTCCCAGGTTTTCCCTGGACCCTCTTCCCCAGCACACGGTGGGGATGTGCTGCTCACCCAGACCCATCCCAGTAAACTTCATGCTGGCACTGCCAGCTCTGTGGGAGAATAGCAGGGGCTTGGCCCTGGCCCTAGCCCTTGCTACAGTGGCCTGTTGTGATTGTGTCTATGGCAGGAATCTCTACTCTAGCACATTTAGGGTGTTAAGTGTTTGGGGTTTTGGGGCAGACAAGGTTCCTTGGGTCAATTTGTTATCTTTTATTAGACCAACCCAAATAGTTGGAGAATAGTTATTAAGCAAGCTTTCGAGTTCAAAAACCCTTCATCAGGCTCAGGAAGCTGCAGCAGTTGGTGTGTGCTCTTCCTGGATGGAATGAAAAGTAAAGAAGCCAGGGGCTGGGCTGGGGAGTCAGTTGCCAGGCAGATTATAATGTATCAAAAATCCAATGTCTATGTTTAGTCC